CAAAAAACAGTTTATTTTCACTGTCACTACTGCCAAAGTGACAAAGAAAATAAACATATAAACAAATATTATATATATATATATATATATATATATATATATATATATATATATATATATATATATTTATATATATATATATATATTTATTTATATTTATATTTATATTGTCGGGGTTCACCGTAAGAGGGGCGAGTAACAGTATACACAAGGTCACTCACCATAGCCCTGCGGGTCTTCACTCTATCCTCGCTGCGCCACTGTACGCCAGGAGAGTATCCCAGTCAATCCCAACCGGCCTCTGATCGAGAATGAGTGAGAACACAGCTTGTTCTCTTTACAGCTGCGTGCCCGCCCCGGCAAGGGCTCTACTACTAACCACAAGGTCGCCAACTGGTGTTTTCTGTGTCCAGTAACACGTCAGTGGTATTGTGGAATCGTGGTAACAGCGGCAAGAACACACTCAATAGATCTGATATCAGGCAGGTATTTATTTCTATCACTATTTCCTTTCATGTATTATATAGCCACAAGAAATATGGAGGGGATGATACAAACGCCAAGGTATTTTGTGTTTTACTTAAAGCTCAAGACATCACATAATTATACCAATAAACAAACAGCTATTTCATGCGAAAGTCGCTCGTTCTCCCAAATAATCATGAACTCGCCAAGCTGGCAATGCTCCCCCTCACGTCAATGTCAAAATCAGCTGGGCGATTCTCACCGCGCGAATGTTCGTTTATCTGTTTGTCTGGCGTGAGGCGCCTGTTTCTTTAAATTCTCAACTATCACTGTTAACACACAACACGATTACTGCTATAATGGCAATAGAACGCAGATGATTCACTGCACTGATCTTGAGCTCAATCACACATTTCTATATTAATGAACACAATTATTCATTATCATGGTATAACCCTCTGCACCTCATTTAATGATAACACATGCAAGTATATATTACTGGAGTTCTCAGTAATTCCTTTCGTGGGCGAATATTCAATTGATCACTGCACACATGAATGGTTATTCAATACACAAGCACAGATATATATATATATATATATATATATATATATATATAGATAAATCATAGACATCAATAATAGTAATAATATAGTTACTGGGCACATAGCCTAACACCAAATACTGGTACACTTATATATATATATATATATTCTCTCACTAAATGATCATATTAAAGTCTCATGAAAGACATTATCAACACAGTAAATTCATCAATTACTCCGGGTGCCTGCACACACCAATAATAATAATAATAATAGATACCGTGAGTGTTCTATGTAGCCCCACTTTGCACACTGGTGCCTTACTGTGACATAGGTGAGCCTTGCTCACGACATACAAAATACTCTGGCTAAATAATATAGCTGACTAAAGGGGAATTGGGAGGGAAACTAGAATCACCTACTTCCACCTATCCTCCGGTGAGAGTTGAGTTGTAGCTCCTGGTCCAGGCTCCCGCCTCGTATAGGGAACACCCCCACACACACCCTGTCGTGTCCTCCAGGAACCCAATCAACGTCCCAAAATAAACGCGTCGTCTCCGTGTTCTGTCCTCCGCGGGTCCGTGCCCCTCCTCCACGTCTTGTAGGGTTGGAGTCGGTCTCCTGGCCGTCAACTTCTCCTCCCAACTACGGCTGCCAACCTACGTCTCGGCTGCAGTCGTATAGATTCTCAATTAGTGTCTTCTTTCACTGCTTCTCAATGGATTGGCCCAGCCGCTACGTCGTCACTGTGAAGTTATCAGACGTCCCAGACGATACTGCCTTGACTTCACCTGCACAGCACCCGACCCTGGAGCACTTGATGCTCAATATTCCGTCAATTCCCTCTTCGGTCCACACATGGAATGAAGGAAGACCTCCTGGCGTACTGGCAGACTACGGGTGACGCGTAAGATCCACGGGAGTGGCGTATTACTGTCAGATTGACAGGATCAACCTTCACACATCCGTCCACCTTGACGTGTCGTGTCAGGCTGATGGCGCCGCCGTGGCGCTATGACCGGACCCCCCTGCCTTCGTGACCTCATACTTGCCAAGGGAGGTTTTCATTGGCTCCCTGTGCCACATCGCTGTCGGTGACCAATCTGGTGCCACTGACGTCACACAGTTTTGGCGGCAAAACAGAGGAGCCCGTGCCATATTGGCTTCCTAAAGGGCCTATACCACAGGCCAAAATACTTTTCTTTCACGTGTTTCTCGCCACCTCGAGAACACTACATTCTCCCACATATATCAAACTGATGCCTGCGACGTAGAGAACGCTCGGATAAAGTGGACATGACTCTTACAGCAGGCGTGGGAGAAATATAAGGGGGGGAACACCGTCAGAATATATATATATATATATTTCAAATAATAAGAAAAAGAGTGAACACAAAAAATCACTGATGCTGGAAATCACTGATATTTTACTGATGGCGGAATGGCGAGGCTAAAAAGCTGGCGCTAGACGCTACAAGCACATCAAGGTGAGTACATGTAGTGGAGTTCCAGGGATCCTGTACAGGATGATGCAGGAGGAGGAGGAGGCAGAGGAGGCTGGTTGGGCGCTATGCCCCTGTAATGACTAGACGAGGATCAAGGGAGCTGTGCATCTGTGCATGGTAGCCTGGCTCGTGTCGAGGTCTGCCTTAAAGCCTCCAAGTTGTGCGCTAGAGACGAGTCTTTGTCCTGGGGAAAACGCTCCCAGATAAAATTTACGGACCTGGTCAATCTGAGGCAGAGAAGTGTAACCCACAAGGCTTCCATTGTAATGTTCCTTGTCCCACATGCTGTAGGTACAGTATGTGGGAGGACGTGCTCTGGACTCTGGAGGACGTGCTAAAGTACGTGCTGGAACACGTGCTGAAGGACGTGCTGGAGGCGCTGGAGGACGTGCTAAAGTACGTGCTGGAACACGTGCTTAAGGACGTGCTGGAGGACGCGCTGGAGGACGTGCTGGAGGAAGGGTTGATTACTCATACCTGGTTGATACCTGGTTGAAGGGGTTCTGAGAGTTCTACTCCCCAAGCCCGGCCCGAGGCCAGGCTTGCCTTGTGAGTTTGGTCCACCAGGCTGTTGCTTGGAGCGGCCCGCAGGCCCACATACCCACCACAGCCCCGTTGGTCCTTCACTCTTTGGAGGAAACAATCTAGTTTCCTCTTGAAGATGTCCTCAGTTGTTCCGCAATATTTCTTATGCTCGCTGGGAGGGTGTTGAGCAACCGTGGACCTCTGATGTTTATACAGTGTTCTCTAATTGTGCCTATGGCACCCCTGCTCTTCACTAATTCTATTCTGCATTTTCTTCCATATCGTTCTCTCCAGTACGTTGTTATTTTACTGTGTAAATTTGGGACATGGCCCTCCAGTATTTTCTATGAGTATATTATTTGGTACTTTTGTCGTCTCCTTTCTAGTGAGAACATTTGGAGAGCTTATTATTAGCTAATAAAGATATTAGCTCATACTAATATCTACTCTCTTTGTCACCCCTACAATCACCCTCCCCCGTTGATGTAACGATGCATCAGCTCTGATAACGTGATCAACGTTAGTAAACCGTCGATTTTCTGCCGATTACATGATACTCGAGAATGTTTGTGTGCTGGATAATTGGGTTATTAATTATGGCGGCCCTAACCCAAGCCTGAGGGAGGCGGCGGTAAGGTAACAGAGTCGCGTGAGTGAGTTCATGAGTCGCATAAGTGAGTTCATTTACATCTGTGATTTACTATTTTCATTTACTTTGATTTATACGTCTACAACATATATTTCTCTCTAACACACACACACACATGTACATCCCCAGGAAGCAGCCCGTAGCAGCTGTCTAACTCCCAGGTATCTAATTACTACTAGGTGGTCAGGGGCATCAGGTTAAAAAACTGCCATTTGTTTCTACCTCGGCCGGTAAGGGAGCCCAGGGCCCCGAGGACTATATATGACCCTCGAGCGCTGTACACTCATCCTCGAGGCCCTTATGTGTGTGTTGGGGGGGGGCCCTCATCCGGTCTATGACCTTCCCCAAACAACCAGCAGTCATTATACAAAGTTTGGAAAGGCTAGCCCCACGCGTCTGATCTTCACCCTCGAACAGACAAACATTCTCCCTTACTGATATAGATAATAAATTCATGTTACTAACCAAAACCCTGAACTTTAAGTCGACCTCCAAGTTTGTTTAAATTTTGCCCCGAGGGGAGAGTTTATTGGGCAGCGCCACTCATCCTGTGAGTGGACATACCGCCATAGCATCATGTAGAACACTCCCCAATAGGAAGAAAACCCGCTGGGTTTGTTCATCCTGTCACTTGAACCCAGACACAGTTGGGACTTGCTTAACTGTCTCCAAGTCACTCAAGGGAAAACAACTTTGTAACAGACCTGCCATACTTTCCATCATTCCATTCAGTGTGCCCAGTTACCTCCATCACTGCCATCAGGCACAGACAGTCTGGCCAGCTACCTCCATCGCGCTCGTCAAGAGCTCAGCTGTTTCCGCCAAAAGCGAGTGAAACCGAGCTGTCTCAGCATCCATTTGTATAATTAGTTGTGTTTTCGAGGCAAGTCTTTGAGATGAGCAGGAGGTTGTCGACTACTCCCATACGTCGACAGTCCCTCCCAGACGCCGAGGGTCCCTCCCAGACGCCGACGGTCCCTCCCAGACGCCGACGGTCCCTCCCAGACGCCGACGGTCCCTCCCAGACGCCGACGGTCCCTCCCAGACGTCGACGGTCACTTCCAGACGTCGACGGTCAGTCCCAGACGTCGACGGTCACTCCCAGACGTCGACGGTCACTCCCAGACGTCGATGGTCGCAATCCCACGTCGACAGTCACTCCCAGACGTCGACGGTCCCTCCCAGACGCCGACGATCCCTCCCAGACGCCGACGATCCCTCCCAGACGCCGACGGTCCCTCCCAGACGCCGACGGTCCCTTCCAGACGCCGACGGTCCCTTCCAGACGACGACGGTAGCTCACAGACGTCGATGGTCACTCCTAGCTGTCGACGATCGCTCCTAGACGTCGACGGTCGCTCTCAGACGTCGACATTTCCTTCCAGACGTCGACGGTCGCTCCCAGACGTCGACGGTCGCTCCCAAACGTCGACGGTCGCTCCCAAACGTCGACGGTCGCTCCCAGACGTCGACGGTCGCTCCCAGACGTCGACGGTCGCTCCCAGACGTCGACGGTCGCTCCCAGACGTCGACGGTCGCTCCCAGACGTCGACGGTCCCTCCCAGACGTCGACGGTCGCAACCACACGTCGATGGTCCCTCCCAGACGTCGACAGTTGCTCCCAGACGTCAACGGCCGCTCCCAGACGTCGACGGTCGCTCCCAGACGTCGACGGTCGCTCCCAGACGTCGACGGTCGCAACCACACGTCGACGGTCGCAACCACACGTCGACGGTAGCTCCCCGACGTCGACGGTCGCTCCCAGACGTCGACGGTCGCTCCCAGACGTCGACGGTCGCTCCCAGACGTCGACGGTCGCAACCACACGTCGACGGTCCCTCCCAGACGTCGACGGTCCCTCCCAGACGTCGACGGTCCCTCCCAGACGTCGACGGTCGCAACCACACGTCGACGGTCCCTCCCAGACGTCGACGGTCGCAACCACACGTCGACGGTCGCTCCCAGACGTCGACGGTCGCTCCCAGACGTCGACGGTCGCTCCCAGACGTCGACGGTCGCTCCCAGACGTCGACGGTCGCTCCCAGACGTCGACGGTCGCTCCCAGACGTCGACGGTCGCTCCCAGACGTCGACGGTCGCTCCCGGACGTCGTCGGTCGCTCCCGGACGTCGACGGTCGCTCCCGGACGTCGACGGTCGCTCCCGGACGTCGACGGTCGCTCCCGGACGTCGACGGTCGCTCCCGGACGTCGACGGTCGCTCCCGGACGTCGACGGTCGCTCCCGGACGTCGACGGTCGCTCCCGGACGTCGACGGTCGCTCCCGGACGTCGACGGTCGCTCCCGGACGTCGACGGTCGCTCCCGGACGTCGACGGTCGCTCCCGGACGTCGACGGTCGCTCCCGGACGTCGACGGTCGCTCCCGGACGTCGACGGTCGCTCCCGGACGTCGACGGTCGCTCCCGGACGTCGACGGTCGCTCCCGGACGTCGACGGTCGCTCCCGGACGTCGACGGTCGCTCCCGGACGTCGACGGTCGCTCCCGGACGTCGACGGTCGCTCCCGGACGTCGACGGTCCCTCCCGGACGTCGACGGTCCCTCCCGGACGTCGACGGTCCCTCCCGGACGTCGACGGTCCCTCCCGGACGTCGACGGTCCCTCCCGGACGTCGACGGTCCCTCCCGGACGTCGACGGTCCCTCCCGGACGTCGACGGTCGCTCCCGGACGTCGACGGTCGCTCCCGGACGTCGACGGTCGCTCCCGGACGTCGACGGTCGCTCCCGGACGTCGACGGTCCCTCCCGGACGTCGACGGTCCCTCCCGGACGTCGACGGTCCCTCCCGGACGTCGACGGTCCCTCCCGGACGTCGACGGTCCCTCCCGGACGTCGACGGTCCCTCCCGGACGTCGACGGTCCCTCCCGGACGTCGACGGTCCCTCCCGGACGTCGACGGTCCCTCCCGGACGTCGACGGTCCCTCCCGGACGTCGACGGTCCCTCCCAGACGTCGACGGTCCCTCCCAGACGTCGACGGTCCCTCCCAGACGTCGACGGTCCCTCCCAGACGTCGACGGTCCCTCCCAGACGTCGACGGTCCCTCCCAGACGTCGACGGTCCCTCCCAGACGTCGACGGTCCCTCCCAGACGTCGACGGTCCCTCCCAGACGTCGACGGTCCCTCCCAGACGTCGACGGTCCCTCCCAGACGTCGACGGTCCCTCCCAGACGTCGACGGTCCCTCCCAGACGTCGACGGTCCCACCCAGACGTCGACGGTCCCACCCAGACGTCGACGGTCCCACCCAGACGTCGACGGTCCCTCCAGACGTCGACGGTCCCTTCCAGACGTCGACGGTCGCAACCAGACGTTGACGGTCGCTCTCCCAGACGTCGACGGTCCCTCCCAGACGTCGACGGTCCCTCCCAGACGTCGACGGTCCCTCCCAGACGTCGACGGTCCCTCCCAGACGTCGACGGTCGCAACCACACGTCGACGGTCGCAACCACACGTCGACGGTCGCAACCACACGTCGACGGTCCCTCCCAGAGGTCGACGGTCCCTCCCAGACGTCGACGGTCCCTCCCGGACGTCGACGGTCCCTCCCGGACGTCGACGGTCGCTCCCGGACGTCGACGGTCCCTCCCGGACGTCGACGGTCCCTCCCGGACGTCGACGGTCCCTCCCGGACGTCGACGGTCCCTCCCGGACGTCGACGGTCCCTCCCGGACGTCGACGGTCCCTCCCGGACGTCGACGGTCCCTCCCAGACGTCGACGGTCCCTCCCAGACGTCGACGGTCCCTCCCAGACGTCGACGGTCCCTCCCAGACGTCGACGGTCCCTCCCAGACGTCGACGGTCCCTCCCAGACGTCGACGGTCCCTCCCAGACGTCGACGGTCCCTCCCAGACGTCGACGGTCGCAACCACACGTCGACGGTCCCTCCCAGACGTCGACGGTCGCTCCCAGACGTCGACGGTCGCTCCCAGACGTCGACGGTCGCTCCCAGACGTCGACGGTCGCTCCCAGACGTCGACGGTCGCTCCCTGACGTCGACGGTCGCTCCCAGACGTCGACGTTCGCTCCCAGACGTCGACGGTCGCTCCCAGACGTCGACGGTCGCTCCCAGACGTCGACGGTCGCTCCCAGACGTCGACGGTCGCTCCCAGACGTCGACGGTCGCTCCCAGACGTCGACGGTCGCTCCCCAACGTCGACGGTCGCTCCCCAACGTCGACGGTCGCTCCCCAACGTCGACGGTCGCTCCCAACGTCGACGGTCGCTCCCAGACGTCGACGGTCGCTCCCAGACGTCGACGGTCGCTCCCGGACGTCGACGGTCGCTCCCGGACGTCGACGGTCGCTCCCGGACGTCGACGGTCGCTCCCGGACGTCGACGGTCCCTCCCGGACGTCGACGGTCCCTCCCGGACGTCGACTGTCCCTCCCGGACGTCGACGGTCCCTCCCGGACGTCGACGGTCCCACCCGGACGTCGACGGTCCCTCCCGGACGTCGACGGTCCCTCCCGGACGTCGACGGTCCCTCCCGGACGTCGACGGTCCCTCCCGGACGTCGACGGTCCCTCCCGGACGTTGACGGTCCCCCCCAGACGTCGACGGTCCCCCCCAGACGTCGACGGTCCCTCCCAGACGCCAACGGTCGCTCCCAGACGTCGACGGCTGCTCCCAGACGTCGACGGTCGCTCTCAGACGTCGACGGTCCCTCCCAGACGTCGACGGTTCCACCTAGACGTCGACGGTCGCTCCCAGACGTCGACGGTCCCACCTAGACGTCAACGGTCCCTCCCAGACGTCGACGGTAGCACACAGACGTCGACGGTCGCTCCAGTCGCGCTTATAAATAAGTGATGCTTTGTTTCTATATGCCAGTTGCCACTCTGCTGTTTTCTTTAATTCTCTGAGGTGAGACATTAATTAAAGAGTCTTGAGTTAAGTTCTGGTGTTCTTATATATGAGCGAGTTTTGCTCGACATAAATAGACTGATAGACCTTCAGTAGTTATATTAGTTCTCATATTTGAACAGTCAATTTGTACAGTTACATCTGTGTAAAGTTAAAAGAAAATACAGAAGGCTTGTTGATCATTTTAGTTCTTTGAGGTGAGATGATATGGATCGTTTTGATTAAGGCATGTAATGTATGCCTTAATCAGTGTGAAGATGCTGCTCTGAAGGGTCCTAGCTACAAGCCTTCTGCAATTTCCTTAGTTCTAATGTACAATAAGAAAGCACTGACTATACACCAACAATATTTTGTACAAGGTCTGCTTGCCGGGAGAATTACACTTCAGTGTTATGAAGAACTACCACCACCACCACAATCCAGCATCACGGTGAACCACCACACTCCAGCATCACAGAGAACCACCACCACCAGCACCACACTCCAGCATCACAGAGAACCACCACCACCAGCATCACAGAGAACCACCACCACCACCACCACACTCCAGCATCACAGAGAACCACCACCACCAGCACCACACTCCAGCATCACAGAGAACCACCACCACCAGCATCACACCACCAGCACCACACTCCAGCATCACCACCACCACCAGCACCACACTCCAGCATCACAGAGACCACCACCACCACCACACTCCAGCATCACAGAGAACCACCACCACCAGCACCACACTCCAGCATCACAGAGAACCACCAGCACCACACTCCAGCATCACAGAGAACCACCACCACCACGCTCCAACATCACAGTTCCTCAACACAGCCTAGTGTCAACGGTCCCCTACAAAGTCTGTCAACTAACACCTCTGTGCTCAAGGGGGAGCCTAGGATACCAGATGCCTGGCGACGTCCTTCCTTATTGTGGGTGCTCGTGGCTTAGTTGGTAGGACTGCGGTCTGCTGCTTTTGTGGCCTGCGGTTCTTGCCACTTCTGACTGGATTTGAGAAGATTCTTAGGCTTGAATAAAGCATAAATGTGTCATTTTTATACACAGCATGAAAATGTCAGTAGTTGGACGATTTGTTATTTAGAGCTATATCTAAATACCTTTTTTATTGAATTAGTTCCGAAAAAGCGCTCAAATAGTGAGAATACTCAGTTCATTAATAGTGTATTCCAGGATAATCCAAAATATTGGATGACGATAATCATTCCAATCACAGGTTCTATCCCGTTCTCATATCCTAGCTTCATGGCCAAGACCGGATTACCTATAATAGGTCACATATATAGGTCATGGCCAGGCGCACACAAGCACTTTTTTTGTACCATGTAAATGGACACATATCTAATAATTCTTGGAGTAATCAGTTAATTTGTAACACTGCCCGATAATATTTATTTTTTGTGTAACTCCTGTTCTGTACACGTTACAAATATTTATATGAGCTGTCAATACGGATGTGTTTGGCCTCTGAACTGTCTAGAGGGCGGGTACCATTAATTAAGCTGTTTTGACCGAGGGATCAAAAACAGCTTTGGTCCGGTCCTGTATATAAACACACCGGCTTTGGAGCTTTGTCTACACAATTTCCTTTCTTACCTTCCAGAGCAACTTGTTTCAAGTGAAACTTAGAAGCACCTTAGAAGAAACTTGGAGCGTGTGGGCCTGGGAACACCCGGCGCATGGGTTCGAATCCTCAGCACTACTCCTAAGGTTTTTGTCATTGAAGTAGTTCACGTTAGTGCGTAGACGAGGAGTCACAATAACGTGGCAGAAAAATGTTGACCAAACCACAATGGAAAGTGAAGGGACGACGACGTTTCGGTCCGTCCTGGACCATTCTCAAGTTGATTGTGAATTGTCCAGGATGGACCGCAACGTCGTCGTCCCTTCACTTCCTAGTGTGTGGTTTGGTCAACGTTAGTATGATTAGTCTCTCTGTAGACGCGAGGGGTTAGGTCGGACTTAGGTTAGGTGAGGTCGGACTTAAGAGTTTCGGGTTAGGCAAAAACTATCCTTTTTTAAAATTGACGCGGGGTGACGGACATCGTGTCCAGTAATCCATCAATCATTCTCATGGATGTCAGAGCCATCACACAATGTTGCTTGACCAGGGGCTTGAGATAAACTCTCTTTTGCCTTCTAAATACTGGCGGAGGGGAAGCCGGGATTTACTCTTTATGCTTCTAATCTGTTAATCCTCTCCCGCTTTCTCCCATTCACCGACGTTGTTTTTCTTCTCCTTCCTCTCTCTCACTACCTCCCTCTTTCTCCCCTCTTCCTCCTCCTCCTTTCTGATTTACTCTCTCAGTCGCTCTAGCCACGTACTATCTTCCTCTCTGTTTCTCTCTTCTCATACTTTCTTCAGTACTTTCTCCCAACTTTCAACTCATACTCTCACTTATTCCTTCCCTTCACATTTCCATCCATTCTAACCCTTCCATGGCCTCCCCCTCATCTCCCTTCCCACTCAAGTACCTGGAGGATTATCGGTATTGACAGGAGGTCGTGTGGTTAGTGACCCTTACTCCTGTGATGAATGTGTGGGTGGAGTGAGGGGGGGGGATGAATAGTGGGGTAATGGGAAGGTGGGGGGAGGAAGGGCAGGAGGCGAAAGTGGAGGGTTGAGAGAGGGCAAAGGGATGGGGGAACAGAAGGGGAATAGGGATAGAAGGGGAGTGGAAGATATGAAGGGAAGAAGACAAGGGGAAAAGGAGCGGGGAAGGAGCACGAAAGAAGTGCTGGGGTTGGGACGAAACAGAAATTAGGAAAATTAAGAATAAGGTACTGAACACTAGTAAAATATACAAGTAGGCGTTGACTAACCTCCAGTGATTGCCGTCCATCAATAAATACCAGAATTAAAAGCAGCTCTTGCATCCGAACTATTCCCCACAAACTTAAAAAAAAAGAGCCTTATCACAACAATTCCGAAGCCGGGTAAACTCCCTCCACCCATGTTGGCAGTTTATATTCTTCTAAAGAACTTACAGAAGAACATAAACTGCCAATATGTCACACTCTTAATTTACTACCCAATTATATAAAGAACCCATTAATACCCCACGTATGTCATTCATCCATGTCACCTACCATCTTCCCATTAGAGGATATAATCATGTGCTAACAGAAAAGAATTTCTTTGAGAATGTGAGGTGAGACCTTACGAAACGCATCACTAGGCGTCCGACCAAAATAATAAGTAAAAATTAACTCTCCAGAGTTAATTTTTAATCTTCCTGCTTCAGTTAAGAAAAACTTAAGGAATATTGAGAAGATTCGTGCCAGAATCCTAAATCCTAAACTTTGTCGTTTTCAACGAAATATGTTAAGAAAGAAAGACTGCTACCAATATATATATATATATATATATATATATATATATATATATATATATATATATATATATATATATATATATATATATATATATATATATATATGTCAGGAGTCGGTGACAAGTTGGAGTCCCCCTCCCCTATAGTTGTCAGGAGAGGTGACAAGTCGCCAATATATAGCGAGCTTAACATCTGGTTCTTGGATGATGGTACCCTAGCTGTCTCCCAAGACTCCCTCCTGGAGGGCATCAGAAAAATCCAGGAGCAGGGTGCAGTTTTAGGCCTCACCCTGAACCCTTCTAAATGTGAAATAATATGTTCCAACCAGGGCATCAGAGAGAGAATAGAGGGTCTTCTGCCAAATATCCATATAACTAAACCTGAAGACAGCACACTCCTAGGAGCCTCCCTGGGGTTGAAAGCTATCGATGAGGTCCTTGATAAGAAAATCGCCGACCTTGAGAGGATGGATGGGAGGATTGAGGATATTGATGCTCATGATGCACTCTACCTCATCACCAGATGTCTGTCCCTCCCCAGCTTAACCTACTTTCTGAGGTGTTCACCATCCTTCAATAGCCAAAATCTTGCCTCCAACAACACACAAGTTCCCACCAACACCACACAAGTTCCCACCAACACCACAAAAGTTCCCACCAACACCACACAAGTTCCCCCAACAACACACAAGTTCCCCCAACACCACAAAAGTTCCCCCAACACCACAAAAGTTCCCCCAACAACACACAAGTTCCCCCAACAACACACAAGTTCCCCCAACAACACACAAGTTCCCCCAACAACACACAAGTTCCCCCAACAACACACAAGTTCCCCCAACAACACAAAAGTTACCCCAACAGCACAAAAGTTTCCCAACAACACAAAAGTTCCCCCAACAGCACAAAAGTTCCCCCAACAGCACACAAGTTCCCCCAACAACACACAAGTTCCCCCAACAACACACAAGTTCCCCCAACAACACACAAGTTCCCCCAACAACACACAAGTTCCCCCAACAACACACAAGTTCCTCAACAACACAAAAGTTCCCGTCAACACACACAAGTTCCCCAACATAACCGAAGATGCCAAGCAACATAAAAGGTTCACCAAGGTGACTTTTTTTTTTTTTAGCTGCACCAGAACTTTCAATATCATGATTCGGTGACAGGTCACCCACTGGTGGATTCATGTCATATTCTAAGGTCGGCCCCCCCCCCCTCCCCCCGTCTCATGTTCAGGTGTGCCCAATCTGTTCTCACCAAGTATAACACCTCAATGCTTCAATTAATATTATTAATTACATATTTATTAATTAAATAAGTATGTATTTGTGTGTGTGTGTGGGGGGAGAGAGAGAGAGAGAGAGAGAGAGAGAGAGAGAGAGAGAGAGAGAGAGAGAGAGAGAGAGAGAGAGAGAGAGAGAGAGAGAGAGAGAGAGAGAGAGAGATCAACCCTCAGTACTCACAAACAGGTTAGCACTATCAAATAAACTGTTCCTTCATTAGTATAAATCCTTGTGGCCATCACAACAGCCTCTGACCTATTTCAACCAGAGGAGCTTTAAAGAGCGGTCACTGCAGTCCCTGGTCTTTA